CTCTCTCTCTCTCTCTCTCTCTCTCTCTCTCTCTCTCTCTCTCTCTCTCTCTCTTTCTCTCTCTCTCAAAAGTGTTTGTGAGATTCCAGTGCAATTGAGATGCAAGTGAAGCCCTGGGCACAGGGTCTGACATAAGTGGGGTGCTTGGCAAACCCTTGATGACCCCTTTGGCCCTTGGGAAGTGAGTGATGAGGGATCCTGTGATAATAGATTCTCCTGATGTCAGCTCCCTGCTCAATATGCCAGCTGTGTTCTTGTGTTGGAGAAGACACTGTCCCTAGTTCCAAGGGCCTCCTGGGAGCAATGCGGAGCCCAACAGTGAGAGACTCCAGGGACAGAATGTCTAGGCTGTCCTCTAAGGTTCTCCAGGTTCTGGGTGCTGTGCTGGCATGTGGCTCCAGGGGACTGAGTCTTTGTTCATGTCTTTGTGTCACCTTAAGAAGCTCATGCCGCCTGAGCAGTGAATTTAGACTTTCTGCTGGAGGCCATTTCTTTCTAGGAGCTTTCTAACTGTTGTTCTAACAGTTGGATGGAGGTTCTCCAGCCCGTTACCACCTCTGATGTTGAAAGATTGGGTGACTCTTGGTCCGGAAACTTGTGGTCTGAGGGTGTGGCTGGAAAAGCTTGCTGAAAGTGTGAAAAGGGCTCTTTGACTGAGAAGAGACTGGGAGGAAACAGCTAGTTCCTCAGTGCCCACTGTGCTTCAGACAAGTACCCTTTGAACTCTTACAACGATCCTGTCAGATGGTGTGGCGACCAGTATTGTCATTAACACAGGATCTAGACGCTCCTAGCAGAAATGTCCCTGGGAACACTTGTGGGGACAGGTTAGGTAATCTGAGGTAGGAAGGTCCACCTTAGTTGTAGGCAGCACCATCCCAAGGGCTGGAATCTTGCACTGAATACAAAGGAAAAGTGAGCTGAGACCAGCATTCATCTCTGTTTCCTGACTAAATACAGCGTGAGCAGAGGTTCCATTCTCTTGTGCTCTGACTTTTCTGCTCTGATGGACTGTGAGCCAAGCAAACCCTGTCTTCTCCAAATTGATTCTGTCACAATGACGCAACAAATAACTAGCACCTTGGGTTAGTAACTTTGTCAGGATTACACACAAGTAACTAGCACCCTGGGGTTAGTAACTTTGTCAGGATTACACACAACAAGTAACTAGCACCCTGGGTTAGTAACTTTTTCACAGTGACATACCAAGTAACTAGCACCCTGTGGTCAGTAACTTTAATAGGATTTCGCTATGGAGCTCAGGTTGGTCCTGAACCCAGGCTCCTTCAGCTTTGATGGGAAGAATGGACTTTGAAGGGAGAGACAAGAGTTCGGTGTGGGCAGGAATTTCACAGAGTGGGAGCAGGATGAAGGAGGATGAAGTCATTTCTCAGGTCTCACTGTTCTAGGTTCCAGCCCTGTGTCTGCCTCTATGTGCCGTGAGCCTGGACAAGTTAACCTCTGACTCTAGACCTTGTGCACCTGAGAGGGAAGGCTCGCTTGTAAAGCTACTTTGGTGCTTGAGAAGAGGAAGAGGCAAGGGTATAACCTGTGTAAGTTGAAATAAAGGAAGCCAGTAGAGGATACTGGCTGAAGCGGAGGCAGGAAGTTATCCTCTTCTCAGGGTCCAGCTCAAGAGAAGAGACCTTGAACTCCAGGACCTGTATGAACCCCAGAATCCTCAGTTCCTACTCATATTTTGATCTGAGTTCTGGGTGCCGGTTGGGCTAGGCTCACTGCTCACCCCCATGGGTTCCAGTTTCCCTTGTGTCCAATGCAACTTCATCACTGCAGAACCCAGAAGGATCATTGGTAGCCTGTGACTCCTAGAACTCCACTATGGCTCCTCTGACTTTCCTTCTAAGTCTCCTGTCCCAGGTTTCCATAGGATTGGAGGCTCACCTGTGAAGAAACCTCATCTATGTGGACTTGAGGTCCCTTCCACAGTCATCAGCTTACCTTCACTTCTGAACCCAGAGTTCACAGGTTCCCATTCATCAAGTTTCTTCTTTGATATCCGAAAATGTCTCTGAGACTCATGTTCTGTGCTCAATAGTTTCTCAGTATCTATCCGTTCAGGGAGCTGCATGATGGCTGTGCTTGTGCTTGTGGAGGAAGAGGGTTCTATGGGAAAGAGACAGTGGTTGTGCATTTATTAGAGAGACAGTGGTAGGAGCCAGGCAAGCAAGGCTGGGGTCCTTCCTGCTTACCCTCATACCCTCCTCTATCGTCTCATGAGGAGAAACGCAATGACACAAGTGCTGCTGGGAAGCAGTCCTGCTACACTCTGAACTCTTACAACGATCCTGTCAGATGGTGTGGCGACCAGTATTGTCATTATCACAGGATCTAGACGCTCCTAGCAGAAATGTCCCTGGTAACACTTGTGGGGACAGGTTAGGTAATCTGAGGTAGGAAGGTCCACCTTAGTTGTAGGCAGCTCCATCCCAAGGGCTGGAGTCTTGCACTGAATACAAAGGAAAAGTGAGCTGAGACCAGCATTCATCTCTGTTTCCTGACTAAATACAGCGTGAGCAGAGGTTCCATTCTCTTGTGCTCTGACTTTTCTGCTCTGATGGACTGTGAGCCAAGCAAACCCTGTCTTCTCCAAATTGCTTCTGTCACAATGACACAACAAGTAACTAGCACCCTGGGGTTAGTAACTTTGTCACAGTAACATACCAAGTAACTAGCACCCTGTGGTCAGTAACTTTAATAGGATTTCGCTATGGAGCTCAGGTTGGTCCTGAACCCAGGCTCCTTCAGCTTTGGTGGGAAGAATGGACTTTGAAGGGAGAGACAAGAGTTCGGTGTGGGCAGGAATTTCACAGAGCGGGAGCAGGATGAAGGAGGATGAAGTCATTTCTCAGGTCTCACTGTTCTAGGTTCCAGCCCTGTGTCTGCCTCTATGTGCCGTGAGCCTGGACAAGTTAACCTCCGACTCTAGACCTTGTGCACTGGAGAAAGGTGGCTACTTTGATGCTTGAGAAGAGGAAGAGGCAAGGGTGTGATCTGGATAAATGAGAATGAAATAAGGAAGCCAGTAGAGGACACTGGCTGAAGCTGAGGCAGGAAGTTATCCTCTTCTCAGGGTCCAGCTCAAGAGAAGAGACCATGAAGCTTCAGGACGTAGACCCCTGGGATCCCCAGTTCCCACTCATAATTTCCACTGAGCTCTGGGTATCAGCTGGGCTAGACACACTGTTAACCTCATGGGTTCCAGTTCCCTCTGTGTCAGCTTCAGTGCTACTTCAGCACTCCTGAACCCAGAAGGATAATTGGTAGCCTGCGACTCCTAGAACTCCGCTATTGCTCCTCTGACTTTCCATTTTAGTCTCTTATCTCAGGTTCCCATACGACTGGAGGCTCACCTGTGAAGAAACATCATCTATGTGGACTTGAAGTTCCATCCACAGCCTCGCTTACCTCTGCTTCCTAATCCAGAGTCCTCAGATTCCGATTCATCAGATTTTTTTTTTGAGTTATGAAAGTGTCTCCAAGTCTCTTGGTTCATGCACAATTGTTCCCTCTCATCCATCCATTCAATGAATTGCGTGCTGGTTGGAGCTGTGGTTGTGGAGGAAGAAACAGTGGTTGTGTGTTGACAGAGAGGCAGAGAGGCAGAGGCAGGAGCCAGGCAAGTAAGGCTGGGGTCTTTCCTGCTTACCCTCGCATGCTACTCTATAGTTGCAAGAGAAAGACACTGTCACACGTGTTGCTGGGAAATGGTCCTGCTCTGTGACCATGAAGTTCACCTGTCCTCATTCTACACTAGTCCTCTGTGTGAGTCTCTATTCCTCTCTGAGCCTCAGCTCCCTCATGTGGGGCTCTGAGATTCTGTCCCATGGGGCTGTAAACTGTATATATATATATATATGCATATATATATATAATTACTGGACATTTATTGAATATTAGATTGTTTAATATTCATTGTGGTTGTCACTTTACTCCCACAGTCCAAGCAGACAGCTGTTTAGCTCCCCATTTCTCAGATGGAGACAAGAGGCTGCACTCAGCCTCTGCCCGGTTCCAAGGCTTGGGTTTCTAACTTCAGTGTCACCAGGTGCTCCTTAAAGAAGATGGCTTGAACCCTGTGCTGACCCCTCTCATAGTCCTTCTGGAAACCATCCTCTCCCCACTACAGCTTCTGAGTGCTTCTCCCCAGGGGCTCTGAGTACCACAGGAGCCTGAGAAGGTGCCAGTGTAGGAGAGTGTGTGTGGCTTAGCATTCTTTCACTACCTTTGTCCAGGTTCCTGTTCCAGCCTCTCCTGGGGCCTGTGAACTCTTTTGACAGGTGGTTAGCCTGCCCATAGAAACCTGTCAGGAGGGCTCAGTGGTGATGAAGGGGTCACAGCAGTGGTGGGTTGTAGTTCTTGGTGTACTTACTTAGCATCGAGTCCTTCTCGGCCTGGGCTTTGATCTCTTGCCGCTCCAGGTCCATCTGTCTCCTTGTGTGTTGAGTACGTTCCAAGAACAGTCGGCGCCTATACTGAGCCTCCTTTGAGCCACTCGCATTCTTGGACTGAGCTGTTCCCATGGTGATAGAGCCCTCAGATGATGCCTGGCTATGCAGCTAAATCCCATACAGCTTCACCTCTTCCTTCTATTGTAACTCCAAGCAGGAGGCCAGTGAATTCTTGTCTCTGCCACCCATTTCTGCTCTGAGAAAGGGCGTTTGATCAGAACTGATGGAGGGATCCTGGAAATAAGAGCAGAACAGCCTCTACAGGGACAGATTGTCCTCTTATCAGAACAACCGAAGGACTCAGATCTTTCCTGGGGATGGAGCCTGTGTGTCCAGGTGCAGGGGCAGAAAAGGGAACTCTGGGAAGTGAAGTTTACAGAGAATGTGTTCTCTATAGTTTCATGAATGATGCCAGTGGATATTCTCTTTACTGCTTTGGCTTTCCTGTCAGGCAAGTGTGCTGTTATGCTGAGCCAGGGGTTTCTCTGTTTGTCTAAGTTTTCTTCTTTTAGGTCATTAAGGTCATTTATCTGACCCTGAGGACAGATAGAAAGAAGAGGAGGTATACTCTCTTATTGGCTGCTTCCTGTGGGAGGGGGACAATGGAGATAATAGTAGGCTCTGTCCTTGGATTTAAGGGGGTTTAAGTTGTGGGGTGGCTTCATGTAGCAGGAAAATAATTGTAAATTGATCTGCTGCAGTGGATCATGTGATTGCTGTCATTCACTCCTGGAGAAACCTGTGAACACAGTTAATAGACAGGGCTACAGTGAGTAAGTTAATAGACAGGGGACTCAGTAAGCTCCTAGCCAGGGTACCCATTGTCCTAACATGGACCTAGTGATGGCAGTGATTTGATCCAGGAGGAACTTGTGTGAAACTTTTGAAGGGCAGGGAAAATGGAAGGACGAGGATGAAGAGGAATAGAGAGATCAGGGGAGGAGCTGGAGTGGGAGAGAACAAAAGCCCATCTTCAGGAAGATGACTGTTACTGAATCTTTATTTGGTCCTTAATTAAGTTTTGGGGCCCTGTCAACGGTTAGCTTGGGTTTGTTGGTGCAGAAGCAGCGCTTTCTCTGGAGGAGGGCACAGTTCCCATCACTAGCAGCAGACAGGTCTCTATCTTTGAAGAACCACAGTAGCAAAGACTTGGCCCAGGACTAGCCATGGAAAGTGATAGAGAGGCAGGAGTGGGAAGGTGGACATCTGGAGACTGAAGGGTGGGGAAATGTAGGGATGGGAAAACAAGAGGATGGAAGGATGCAGGGCATGGAGCATGACAGCTGGGAGGATTAGAGGATGCTAATCAAGGGAGAAGGATTAGGGATGGATGAAAGGAGTGTTATTACAAAAGCTGAGAGGATAGGGAGACAGGGATGGAAGATGCAGGGATGGAAGATGCAGGACACTCACTGCTCTGCGTTCCTCAGATTCTTCCTTTTCTAGTGTCCCATGCTAAGGCCATTACTGTGACAGAGGACGAGGTGGGGAGATTCTGCACAGAGGGGGATTCAAGATCTCAGTCTGAGTTTAGGCTAGGCCTCATGAAGGAATCTTTAGAAGTCTTCTGTCCCTGGGAAAAACAAGGGAGAACAATCCAGAGGCAACTAAGCAGGAAGGATAAATTACCCAGAGAAAACCAAAGAACCACATGGACAAGTGTATGGGGTTAGAGTGACCCAAGACTTTCCCAGAGGCCCTGAAAAAGGAAATAGGGAAGTTTAATTCTGTGTCCTTGTCCAGGAATGGACATAGCAAGACCAGTCTGACACTGGAGTCAGTGCCTTGGAGGAACTGAAGTTGTAGCTTCTGGGGGCCTGACTCTTCCCCCTGGGCTGTGGTTATCAGTCCTAAGCCAGCTGTGTCTGAGGGATCCTGTGTTCTCTTTGCATATTGTCTGACTTAGCTCTCTGCTGACCTTGACTGACCCACCCATACCTCAAATAATATAAATGGTGCCGTACTAACTAGTAAGCTAGGTTGGCCTAATTTCTCAGCTTAGGCAAACCCTGCTTGGCCCAGCGACTGCTTTTGTCTTCTTTATTTCTCATCCTCAGTCCTCCCACTATAACACCTCCCCACTCAGGACCTTTATTCCTGCAGCTTCATGTCAGACAGGAGAGAGGAGGGTGCAGGATAGGCTATGACAGGAGTAGGTACATGAAACATACAGGGAAATCCAGCAACCTCCCACCCACCAGAGCTGGCCTGCAGACTCTCCAAGCAGTGGCTCAAGCCTCCGTCCTTCCTATGAGGAAGAAGTCCCCACGTCTGCCGCAGTATGCCTTAGTGCCGTCAGGCCAGCACTTATCTTCCCACAACTCAAATGGTTTTGCGGACTCTGTTGGTCCGACTACTCACCCTGCTCCTCCACTGGGCCCACTGCTGCGTGCATCTCTGGCCAAACTATCTTCTTCAAAAGTGAAAGAGATTCTGGAAGCCAGGAAGTCCCCCAGGAAGCCAGGCATCAGAGCCTGCGCAGATGGTCTTCCTTTGAACCCTGTGAGTAGAGGTTGAGCATTGTTCAGCTCATTTCCTGTTGGGAAGTCTCTGCAGAAGCATCAGGTTTGAGAGTTTCTTCCTGGCCTGCAGAGGCCTCGCCTCCTGAGTAAAGAGCCTCACTTCCCTCATCTACTAAAGCGCCCCCCCCCCAGGTTTGTCAACAGGTCCCAGTGCAGCAAAAGCTCCTGATCTCCCAGATTTATGCTCTGGATCTCTGTACTTCCTCTCCTCCCTGTAGCCTGCCCAGTTCACAAGCTCTTCATTTCAGGAAGTGGCTGGCAGGCCCCACACCCTGGGGCTTTTCTCACTCCTGGACTCTCCTAAATCTCAAATCTGGTATTTGGCTCCTACTAACATCCATGTTTTTCCTTCAGGTTTGTGGTGTGTGTACATGTTCATGTACATGAGAAATCACATGTGTGCCCATGTGTGTGAATTGAGAGCTTATGAATATGTTTAGTCTAGCTACTTAGACTGCTGGGGGACTTCCTGTTTCCTCCTCCTGAGCTCTGGGATCACAAGCCTGTAGCCACGCCCTGCAGGCATCTGTGAGGATGCTGTGGATCAGAACTCAAGTCCTCATGCTTGGATAGCAACTGCTTTACCCACTGAGCCATTGCTGCAGCCCTGACACTGGCTTGTAAACAGATCTGTAATCTGACCCTTCTGACTATGCCCAAGGAGACTGCTGGTCCAGCCAGTATCTTGGGTCTGTGCTCCAGCTTTCTACCTCTTCTTGCTGATGCTTCCTGGTCTATTCTCAGTCTTGAATCTAGCGTCACATATCTAATATGTAAATTAGTTTAAGTTACCTCTGAGTCAAACTTTCTTACCGTTCTTCGAAATACTGGTTTCTTCAGTGTCTCATGAGGCTCTACATGACATAATCCATCCTACCGTACCCTTTTCTGACAGTAGATACCCTTTCATACTCCTCACTCACTCTGCTGTGATGTGGGAGTCCCTCTTTGTGCTGTGATTCCCATTAATGAATAAAGAAACTGCCTTGGCCTGTTGATAGGGCAGAACTTTGGTAGGTGGGGAAGACAGAACTGAATTCTGGGAGGAAGAAAGCAGAGTCAGAAAGATGCCATGCATCTGCCGGAGACAGACGCTGGGAATTTTACCCAGTAAGCCACTGCCACATGGCAATATATAGATGAATAGAAATAGATTAGAATAAGAGTTAGCCAATAAGAAGCTAGAGCTAATGGGCCTAGCAGTGTTTTAATTAATACAGTTTCTGTGTAGTTATTTTGGGGCTAAGCTAGCTGGACGCACAAGTGGCCTGGCTCTCCTTGCAACACTGCTGTGTGTTATCGGCTCAACCTTCATATTCTTTGAACACACCAGGAACTTGTTCTCCTTTGCACTGGCTTCATCACTCCTTCGGGATGACTTTCTATTAGGTAGAAGACTGCTACCCCCTTTCAGAAACAGCACTGCCCTTCCAGAATTTACCCTCCTTTATTTTTCTGCTTAATACTTGTTATCACCCAACACCACAAACTTGATCTGTTTCTGTTACTTCTACCTACAAAGAGAATGGAAACTCTTGGAAGACAGGGCAAAGTATGTTTGTTGATTGTTATATCCCATGGGCTCAAGTCAGTGCCTGACCCACAATAACAGCATGGAGGTGCTTACAGTCTCTGAGAAATGGTTATTTCTTTAATATTAACTTTTATTTATTTGTGTTTGTGTGTGGTGTGTGCATTTGTGTGGTGTATGTGTATGCATGTATATGTGTGGTGTGTGATTGTGGTGTATTTGTGTGTGGCATGTGTTGTCTGAATGTTATGAGTTTGATGTGTTCTTGTGGTATATGTGTGTGTGTGTGTGTGTGTATGTTTGGTGTGTGTGTGGTATGTGTGCTCATGCCATGGACTACATGTGCAAGATATAGGTCAGCTCTTAGGATTCAGGTCCCTCTTTCTACCATGTGTAACTGTGTAAGGACATCAGGCGTCAAGGCAGGTGCCTGTTTAAATGTAAAGTATTGGCTCAGACCCCCAAGACCAAGTTCTTAGACCATGTTCTCAGCACAAAGGAGATTTTTTTGCCCCAGATGAACAGAGGCCAGGGACAGGCAGCAAAGACAGGAGCTAGAGAAAGAGGGAGAAGAGGGTAACAAAGGAAAGGGGAAGGGATATCTGTCCTGGAAGACAAAGAACTGTCTCTGGATAGAAAGGTGGCAAGGTAGGAAAATGGTGGTTTATAAAGGTTCAAGGGGAAACCCTGCGTTAGGATGAGGTGTTTAATTTTAATTGGACATGTTAATTAGGTGAGTCAAAGGGGGCTTTTGATTGTTGGGTTTTAATATTTTACTACCTGGCTTTTGGTTGTCAGCCTCAAGAAGAGGGATTGGCACAATAAGGAAATGGACCTTGGGCGGTAGCTGCAGGAATATAAAGTAGCGGTTTTTACCAAGGCAGAGAGAATTGGGGAGAAGGGCAAGGCCTGCCAGACCCACTAGCTGGAGTGGGTTATGCTCCTTCACCGGCTGTGTGCATCTCTTCTGAGAAAACATGGCTGATACAGGAGGGCCATGCCTACTGTGAGTAGTGCCATCCCAGTGCAGGTGGCCCTGGGCCATTTAAGAAAGCAGGTTGAGCAAGCCTAGAGAGCAAGCCAGTAAGCAGCCCTCCTCCAGGGCCTCTGCTGCAGTCTTCTGGCCCTTGGTTCCTGCCCTGTCTCCCCAGGAAAGGCAGTAAACTGTCACTGTAGAGTGAAAGCAACCTTTTCCTCCCCAGGCTGCTTGTGATCAGTCATGGTGTTTAGCATGGTAATGGGAACCAAACAATGACACATCCTCTGTCTTAACAAGTTTCTCTCCAAGATGGAGATTTCGGTTCAGATAAAGTTACTATAAACCAGTACCTTCCCCTGCTGAGCCTTCTAGCTGGAGTCCAGAGAGATTTGTTAGCTCTTTCTTATTCTTAATTTTTGTGTGTGTGTGTGATGTTGTGGTGGTTTGAGTAAGAATGTCCTCCACAGGGGCATATATTTGAATGATTGGTTTCCATTTGGTGGAACTGTATGGGAAGGATTAGAAGGCCTTGTTGGAGGAGGTGTGTCAAGGGGGTGGCCTGTAAGGCTTCAAAACCTCACACCATTCCCAGTTAGCTCTCTGTGGGTGTTCTGTTTTTCATGGGTCATTTGAAGAAAAAGGCTCACTGCAAAATGTAATTTAGGCTCAGCAAAAGTAGCAGGAGGCGTCAGTCTTGATGGACTGACCAATCTTGGCTTTGCAAAGGTCTCCTTTATTGCAGAGGTCAGGCTGGCATGGGGAGTGGCAGAGAGTGCTCACTGGCACATGGAGCCTCCTCCCCTCCATGTCTGAGCAGGTGCACAGAAGGGGCCACACTCTCCCCAACAGAGCCGCAGCATGGTTGACTATGTGGTGGAGTATGACTTTGATGCTGTACATGATGATGAATTAAGTATTCAAGTTGGGGAAATTGATGGAGGAGGGTCATCTGCCTATCTGTTGCTTTCATTGGTTAATTAATAAAGAAAACTGCTTGGCCTGATAGGTCAGAACATAGGTGGGTGGAGTAGACAGAACTGAATGCTGGGAGGAAGAAGGCAGTGAGACAGATGCTATAGCTCTCCTCTTCAAGATGGACACAGGTTAAGATCCTTCCTGGTAAGCTGACACCTCATGGTGCTACACAGATTATTAGAAATGGGTTAATCAAGATATGAGAGTTAGCCAATAAGAGGATAGAACTAATGGGCCAAGCAGTGTTTAAAAGAATACAGTTCCCGTGTAATTATTTCGAGTAAAGCTAACCAGGTGGCAGGAAGCAGCCCACCGCTCCCATTTCTACACGAAATCATCAGAAATGTGAGAAAACTAGAGGAAGAAGGATGGCTGGAAGGAGAACTAAATGGGAGAAGAGGGATGTTCCCTGATAATTTTGTTAAGGAAATTAAGCGAGAGATGGAACCCAAGGATAACAATTTGTCCATCAAACAGGAAAGGCATGGAAATGCAGTGAGTCTTGTACAGCGAATCAGCACTTACGGACTTCCAGCTGGAGGAATTCAGCCACATCCACAAATCAAAACCCCTAAGAAGACAAAAAACGTCAGTGTAAAGTTCTTTTTGACTACCTTCCACAAAATGAGGACGAATTGGTGCTGAGAGTGGGGGATACTGACAGTGGAGGAAGGCTGGTGGAGCGGAACCCTGAACATTAAGTTGGGACTTCCCCCCTCAAACTCTGTGAACGAGTTAGCACTCACAGATGATGGTGAAACTCATGAAGCTCAGGATGAATCGGAAATAGCTTTGACTGCCCTACCTCACCATTACTGTCTCCGGGAAACGGGAGTGATCCTGGATCAATACACAGCCAAAGAAAGTTTTCCGAGGAGTTGGATTTGGAGATATTTTTAAAGAAGCCTCTGTGAAATTTAGCACAAGAGCATCCAGTAGTGAAACAGAAGAGAAAAAACAGAAAAGCCCTTAATTCTGCAGTTACTGGGGTCCAGAAACCAGAACGTGGAGGTGACAAACCAGACACTGATGGCAAGAGTAAAGCTAAGGAATATTGTAGAGTATTATTTGCTTATGAAGGAACCAATGAAGACGAACTTACTTTTAAAGAAGGGGCGATAATCCATTTGATAAGTAAGGACACTGGAGAAGCAGGCTGGCAGAGGGTGAAATAATGGCAAAGAAGGAGTGTTTCCAGACAACTTCACTGTTTTGACAAGTGAACTAGATAAAGACTTTCCAAAACCAAAGAAACCACCTCCTCCCGCAAAGGGTCCAGCTCCAAAGCCTGACCTGTTAGCTGCAGAGAAGAAAGCTTTTCCTCTAAAGTCTGAAGAAAAAGATGAAAAATCACTGGAATATAAAACCTTCTAGGCCAGCTGCTCCTCAAGTTCCACCCAAAAAGCCCACCCCCACCTACCAAAGCCAATAATTTATTAAGGTCTCCTGGAACCCAAAAACAACCAGACAAGCTAGT